ATAAACCACTCTACATACACACATCTTCCAACCACCCGCCTTCTATAATCAAACAGATACCAAAATCGATTAACCGCAGGCTCTCCGACAATTCCTCCAATGAATCCCTATTTAACAAAGCTAAGAAAGACTATGAAACGGCCCTAAAATATAGCGGATTCCCAGCAATACTCACATACTCACCACAGAATACAAAAAGGCCAACAGGAGAAGAAATATCATATGGTTCAACCCCACCGTACAGCAAGAACGTAAAAACAAACGTAGGAAAAATATTCTTCAAACTCTTACACAAACACTTCCCAGAATCAAGCACCTTACACAAGATATTCAACAAAAACACAGTAAAAATCAGCTACAGCTGCACCGAGAGCATGGCACAAATAATAAAAAAAGCACAATAGGAAAATTATCAACAAACCACACGAACAAATTAAACCCACGTGCAACTGCAGAATAAAGAACGAATGTCCCTTAAAACGGAAATTGTTTACAAAACAACGTAATATACCAAGCCACGATAAAATCACCAGATAATGAAGAAAAGTATACATAGGAGTAACTGAAGGACCCTGGAAGCAAAGAAATTATACACACAAAAAACATCTTTCACAAATAGTAAATATGCGAACAGTACAATGCTTTCTAAGTATATCTGGGAAATTAAAAACAAAACGCACATCACACCAAAAATATCTTGGAAGATAAGGAAAACGTCATTAGCCTACAACAACCAATCAAAAACTTGCAAACTTTGCTTGGAGGAAAAAATAGCTATCATTACTTTCCCCGATCAAAATAAATTATTAAATAAAAGATCCGAGCTCATCTCAAAATGCAGGCATGAAAATAAATTTTTACTACGTAACATAAAAATGAAAAACGGAAAAAATAAAATAAAAACAAATAAATACACTAATAAAATATAAAAAATAAATAAATACTATGTTGCTAAAAACCGAAAAGAGAAAATATACAAGTAAAATAAATTGACCTAAATTCATCCAAGTAAAATAAATAGACAAACCAATCCCAAATTAAAAACTCTTCCCGCCAAAATAATAGTTAGAATGAACTACAACATCAACCCCAAATTGATTTGGTTGTAATGTGAATTTTTTAAAAATATATATTATGCTTTATTTTCTATAATTTTACTACGTGTGTTTCCGGTCTCGCGACCTTCATCAGGCAAAGAGTGATTATTTACACATATTATTAAAAGGAATTAATTTCTCTTATGTTTTTCGATGTTAAATATTCTCGATATTAGGCATTCTCTTTTTTGTGTGTTATTAGCCCAAATGTCTTCCTTGAACTGGCAGTGAAAAAGTTCTGCGTGAAGGGTAATGAAACAATTAAGACTAGTCCGAGAAAGGGTGAAAAAGATACCTACATTCTTATCTTAATTACCCCTGTGTGTTCTTAGATCTATTTCCATTTTTTGTGTTTTTGTCAGCATGCGTATGTATACGTATATTCCATCTTCTTACATACATACTGTCTTGTTATAATGAATTAGTATACACATAATTACACATATAGATATACATACACACGCACACACGCACACTCGCGTGCATAAACATACACAGCCTATTTGAATTTATAGGTCTGATGAATTGGATCGTGATTACGATTCCAATGTAATAAAATATTACCATAGACTATTAGTGTTTGAGCCTTTTATATTATATTATATTATATTATATTATATATATATATATATATATATATATATATATATATATATATATAAAGAAATATAGTCTTAAAAAAAGTATATTTATGGAATAAAATTGCTCAATATCAGAGATAGAGCGTGTGTAAATATAAAAAGTGAACATAGAAGTCAACACTTGGCCGACATTGATTCATATATATAATCGTGGCCTGACGATTGGATATAGCATGTTCACAGACTTATATATATATATATATATATATATATATATATATATATATATATATATATGTGTGTGTGTGTGTGTGTGTGTGTGTGTGTGTGTGTGTGTGTGTATATATATATATATATATCTGAACATTATATGAACTAGGCTCTCATCTTTATTTGGTGCGGTCTCGCTCCTAATTACACCTGACGTGACCGTAGAATATTTTTTAAAATTCTTTCTAAAGATTATCAGGATGTAGACAAAAGGATCTTGCCCACCACACAATCACCGCCTTGGCTCATGAAAATAACTGAGATGTTCGGAAGTCCTTGGCAAAATATGAATTCTGGACAGTTTATCCACAATTTCGACGAAAATTAGAAAAAAAAATACAAAAAAAATTAAACAGGCGTTATCAACCTTGTTACCATTTACTCTGTAACCCTGTATCTCGAGTGGTTCTTGCGCTTTGTATAGAGTGAACATTATTTTTAATATATATATATATATATATATATATATATATATATATATATATATACCTAAGTATATAATTGGTGTATACGGAATGAATTCCAATAACCAACAATTACTATTCTTAAAAGAGTGCTCAATACAAAGTAGAGCAGATATAATAATTTATTTAAAATTTAAATTTTATTTTACATTCAATATCATCACTTGATAAGACACCAGGGGTGTTGAAACAAAATGGCTATTTTGTAGTGATTTTATAACATATTTATGTTATAAATTTTTTTAAATAAATAATTATATATATATATATATATATATATATATATATATATATATATATATGCAGTTCTCTGAATTATCTATGGTTTCATTTATATTAAGGCAGACATTTTTTACATACCCATTTTTGATTTAAAGATATTTTTATTGTTAATTTCTTTTAATAAAACCATAAGAATTTCTTTTAAGACCCTCACTTTCTCCTTCTCTCTCTGTCTCTCTATATATACATATTATATATGAAGAAATATAGTTTTAAGGTTTGCTATATTTATGGGATAAAGTGCTCAATATTAGAGATAGAGCGTATGTAAATATAAATATAAAAGTGAACATTGAAGTCAACACTCAGAGGCGACAGAATGTTTCATGCTGGAGGCAATTGCGTCTAGCATGAAACATCCTGTCGCCTCTGAGTGTTGACTTCAATGTTCACTTATATATATATATATATATATAGTCTAAAATATGTATGGCCGTACATTGTCATGGTAGAAGAATGAGGGACTAACGTGGATAAGACCAACCTCCGAACATCCAAATGACTGAATAGTCAAAGATCTACAACGACCAAAGCGGTAGAAGAATGCAGTACCAGTCGGTCTGTCGTTATCAAGGCGGAGCATGAAAGACCAAGCATCCGATAGCCCGGTGCATCCAGGTTTGCCAGATTTCACCTGTCACCTGTCTCAATCCATTTGAGCCGAGAATCGCTTCTGGTCAAGTGTGGGAGTTTCTCAGTCGCGCCGAGTTGTCCACCAAATTGCCTCGTCAAACTCTCTCTGAGCAGGCACGAGAAATGGAAAAGAGGATGATGATTCCAATGTTCGGATCCAAGCGGGTGCCGACTACTATTACTAAATAATATCTTAGCAGAAGTGTATTTTGCTCTGACTTTCTCAGTTAGACCTTTGAGGTCAGAGGAAGAGACAAAACAAAGGAAGTCGATTTTGATTGGCTAAAAGAGGCGATAATGATAGAGAAAGGTTTATTCGGGAGTTGAGAATTAACCATCGAACAATTCGTGTCTGGATCTGCTCCCCAATGGGGGTGCGAGAGTTGACTCCATTGGATAGTTAGAAATGTACACGTCGAGGTGATTAATAAAATAGTTAAGTTTTAATTTCCCTTTATTGATGTCTTTTACCTCCGAACCAGAAGCAACTGCGAGAGAAGAAGGCAATTTTTTTTATTGTCGAATGGATCCCGTTGCTCAATACAAACCAGCATGAGGGAGACCGTCGCCCAGGACCACTCCAGAACTAGGGGGCTATGCATCACTATATATATATATATATATATATATATATATATATATATATATATATATATATATATAGATATGCTGCCTGAATACACCTCATATATATATATATATATATATATATATATATATATATATATATGTATGAGGTATTCAGGCAGCACAAATTCTTTTTAAATAATTTTTTAACAACAATGTTTGCTTGTCCAATTTTTTTTTTGCTAATTGTTTCCAACTTCCGACTACGATTGCTAAAGTTTCCAAAGTTCAATTGTTTTTTTTTTTTTCGATACATTTCATTTTTACTACAATTGTTATCAAGAATTGGGGTTTTGTCTGTTTCTGAAACTGTATTTGGTTAATTCCGGCGTATATATATATATATATATATATATATATATATATATATATATATATATATATATATATATGGAGTATTGCTGCCAAATATGGTCTGAGTCCCTTCTGTTTGTCTCAAGGTCCTTGATAAAATCCAGAGACGGATATGCAATGTAATTGGCTATGATCTGGCATCTCATCTGCAGTCGCTCTCTCACAGACGTGCCGTCGCCTCCCTCTTTCTTTTTTACAAATACTTTCACGGTAACCGCTCCGAGGAGCTGCTTTCGTTGGTTCCCAGACTTCATGAATTTAAGCGTGCTACTAGGCTGGCATCTCGCTCTCACCCTTTCATTGTCGATAACTATTAAATGTAGCCGTCTCTTCTACTCCAATAGCTTCATCTCGCACTTCTCGCCTGTGGAACTCCCTCCCCTATTCTTGTTTCCCTGATAGCTATAATCTCCAACTATTTAAATGTAATGTCAATCGACATCTCCAGATGCCTTGATCTATCCCCTATCCTTCACTTCATCCTTTCCTCTATCATTCCTATTTGCTCTCGCTTCAACTCTCTGTAACCCTTGCGTGCTAGTGGCTTCCCGCCTTGATTGGGGTGAAACGCTTAAAAAAATAGTGCGTGTGTGTGTGCTGGGTAAATGATAGGGAGAAAGTATGTGTGTAAAAAGAGAGGAGGTCTTTATTAACGTCAATACAAATAGAGGGAGAATGTCGGTTGTAGAATTTCAGACTATGCTTAAGTAAAAAGCAGAGTTTCGGGTGAATATAAAAATGCTGTTTGAAGCGGACGACATCAAAAATCGGTTAAGAGGCGGAAAACGAATAAAGACGATGAAAAGAACGAAGGGAAACGGAAATAAAGAACGAGCGGGGAGGGGAAACATGGGAAAAAAAGCTAAGTGAAAAGAAGTAAATAATGAAGGAAAGAATGTTTGATAAAATAAAGGAAGGAAGGAAAAAACGAAAGAAAAAATGCAAATTAAAAAATTAAGTAAAAGTGAAAAAGAAAGAAAAAATCTAATTAAAAAAGAAGGAAAGAAAAAACAAAGAGAAATGAAAAGTAAAAAAGAAAGAAAGAAAATCAAATTAAAAAAGACGAAAACTAAAAAAAGAAAGCAAGAAAAATGTTAAAAATACAAAGAGAAATGAAAAGTAGAAAAGGAAGAAAAAATACTAAAAAAAACAAAGAGGAATGGAAAGTAAAAAAGAAAGAAAGAAAATCAAATTAACAAAGAAGAAAACTAAAAGTAAAAAACAAAGAAAGAATAAAGTAAGAAAAATAAAAAAAAAAACAAAGAGAAATGAAAAATGAAAAAAAAAGAAAAAAAAATGAAAAAAGAAAGCTGTATGATAAAAACAATTAGTTTCATTAAGAAAAAATGGCGGAAAACTCCAAAAGCCCAGAAAGAAATGAAGGAAAGATAAGAAGTGAATGACGTAGGGAAGAGAAATCTGAAAGGAAAACACAAAAGATCGAAGAAGTGGAAGGAATAAACAGTGGAAAGTTTGTGTGAGACAGAAGGTAAAAGAGAATTATAAAGTGAAAGAAAAGAAAATAGAAAGATTAACCGGTTGACAGAGAGCGGAGAAAAGAGAAAGAAAGGGCAAACGTGACGATTTAAAGAAGAGAAAGAGAGACAAAAAGAAAAATCATCAAAGCCTTTTTACAAAGATATAGTTAAAAATAATGGAAAAAAATATTCGTAAATTTTTATGAGGAAAGGAAAGAAGTGGAAGCAATAAAATATAACCTTGTATTTGTGGGCGGACATAAATGAAATCAAAACCGCTCAACTATATAAGAAAGTAGACAAAAAGGGAAATAACTCTGTAATGAGATGGAAAAAAGGGGGAATGACAAAAAAGATTAGTGCATAAACATTTAACTATATGGATGAATGAGAAAGAAAGAAAAAGTAGAAATCACATAAAAAATAAAAGCAAAGTTGAGATAATAAAGAGAGAAAAAACGTTATCGAAATATCTTTCAATAGGAATAACACAAAGAGAAATATAAAATGATATTAACCAAGCAAGATGAAAAGGAAAGACGATTTGAGTTTATTATAAAGACGTTAGGCTGAAAGAAAAAGAAAGACAATATCTAAAAAGAAAATAAATTGAACGAAAAAAAAAAACCTGAAGATTGGGTCAGAAGAATGCAACAAACCATAATGCAAACTTAAAGATTTTTTTTTTTTTATCAAAGACTTTCCGGAAAAAATTAAAAATTTGGAAAGCAGAACTTCGTAATAGAAGATGATATTTAGAAAATAAAAGACGGAAGAAGACAGAGGGAAATGAAAGAAAGACGAAAAGGCAAATGTCTAGTGGCGGGAAAATAATTATATTTGGGAAAGAAAAAACGTAGCGAATAGTTAGGGGGGGAGTTAAAAATGTATTTGTTGATAACGGCCAGAAAGAATTTTTAGGACCAATACGTTGAACTGAGGCGTCTCTGGCGAAATGGTTAATCGATTTTCTGGCATTTATGTAGAATCAAACACGGGTGACGAGGAAATAGAAATATATACAGATAGATTTGCATAAAAATAGATAGATAGATAGATAGATAGATAGATAGATAGAGAGAGAGAGAGAGAGAGAGAGATAATGGAAAGATCGCGATAGATAGATAGATAGATAGATAGATAGATAGATAGATAGATATGGAGAGACTGATATAGATAGATAGATAGATAGATAGATAGATAGATAGATAGATAGATAGATAGATAGATTGGCATGATGTGAAGAATGAAACAGATTGATATTAGATATAAACAAGAGAAAGAAAGTGGTAAAGATTTATTAAAATTCAAAATCAGGCATATATATATATATATATATATATACATGTGTGTGTGTGTGTGTGTGTATGCGTATATGTGTGTCCGTTTATATATATATATATTTAAGTATATATATATATATATATATATATATATATATATATATATATTTATATATATATATATATATATATATATATATATATATATATATATATATATATTTATATATTTATGTTCTGATTGTGGCTCATCACAGATTCAACTTATTTATTATCTGTGGACTCCCAGCAATTTTTTTCTTAAAAAGTCTCATCATAAATTTATATATTTCTATTCTATTAAACTGGACAGTTGTTCAGGCAAATGGTGAAAAAATATCGATAAAATGTTTTAGTTATGAAGTATAGATTATTGCAGTATTTGCAAGCATGAATAAATACAAAATTGGCAAAATAATTTAAAGATTTTACGCTTCACTTTACAAATTCCATTTATGAGTTACGCATGCGCAATCAAAAGCCTAGAAACACTCGGCAAATAAAGTAATCTTTCGTGACGAAAAAAAAATCAAAACTGCTCACAAACAGCCTATTTTTCTTGAATCGGCAGATTATAGATGATTTGCGTGTATTACAAGACTGATGGCTACAAGCAGGAAACGGAAGGAACTGTAAGCGGTTAGTATTATGGAGGCTGGCACACAATGATTACGTGTTTTCAAAATAAAAGGCTTTTGCATCTTTTGCGCCAACTCAATATCTATCTATCTATCTATCTATCTATGTTAGTCTGTTCATATCTATCTATCTATCTATCTGGTAATGGTTATAATCTTTTTGCTTATATATTTTTTCAGAAAATAGGTTTCTAGAGTCCAGTAGATGATATTACTCTTTCTAGTACAGATGGGGTGGGGTGTCATCCTTTTGCCTCATGTCGTGTGGAATGTCAGCAATTTGATTTTGTGATAATTCTCTCTTCGTAGTACATGTGTTGCTCCTGCTGTTGATTAATTTATACAGTAATTGGGATACTACTTTTATTATGATGAGGTGGATTTTTTGTGTGTATGCGTATGTGTACGTGTGTACGAATGCGTGTTTTTGTCTGCGTATTTATATCTCTCTGTCTGTCTGTCTGTCTATCCATCTATCTATCTATACTTGAGAGTCTGTTCATATCTATCTGTCTTTATATCTATCTATCTATCTCTCTGAGAGTCTGTTCATATCTATCTATCTATCTATCTATCTATCTATCTATCTATCTATCTATCTATCTATCTATCTTTGAGTGTCTGTTCATATCTACCTATCTATCTTTGAGTGTCTGTTCATATCTATCTATCTATCTGGTAATGGTTATACTCTTTCTGCTTATATATATATTGTTCAGGAAAATAGGTTTCTAGAGTCCAATGGCTGTTATTGCTCTTTGCAGTATTGATGGAGGCTTTCTTCTTTGTTTGAAGTTGTATGAAATGTCAACATCTTGATTTGTCATTATTTTCCCTTTGAGTTACATGTGCCATCCATTTTAGTTGTTGCTGCTGTTGGTAGTCCTTAAGTGATCTGGTTTCATTAACCGTTTCCTTATAAGGAAACATTCAATGACCAAGCAGCTAGTGCTAGTCATGCTTTTCTTCACTCTCTGTCTATTGGGCTGGCATCAAAGTGTAATATATGTTCTCCTCATTTCTAATGGTATTGGTAATATTAACCATTTTCTCATAAGGAAATATTTAGCATTCATTGACCCATCAGCCAATGGTACCCTCAATTGAAATTTATAAAATCTTTCTAGTAAAATATTTCAGGAAAATAGGTTTCCTGAGTCCAGTAGCTGTTATTTCTCTTTCCTGTACAAATGGAGTGGGGTGTCATCCTTTTGTGTCATGTCGTGTGGAATGTCAGCAATTTGATTTTGTCATAATTCTCTCTTCGTAGTACATGTGTTGTTGCTGCTGTTGATTAATTTATACGCTAATTGGGATACTACTTTTATTATGATGAGGTTAATTTTTTTTTCTTTTTTGTGTGTGTATGTGTACGTGTGTACGTATGCGTGTTTGTGTCTACGTGTTTATATGTATGCGTGCACATGTGTATGTGTCAAATTCTCATTTTCATCATTTTCCTCTCTCTTCACCCCTTCTCTCTTCCTTTTCGTTCTTTTCCTCGTTTCGATTCTCAGTGTCAAATACAACAATATCACTTCCGGTATCACAGATACAAACTATTTTTTCTCTCTCGAGTGTTCGGATGCTTTAAGTTAGGGTTATTTTGGGGAAACCTATATAAAGAAAAGCAAAGAAAAGCTAAAACTAATATTTAAAATGAATTTTTAAAAAAGAAAGAGAAAAAATTCTTTTATTTTAATTTCAAGTTAAAAGACTAAATTTAATATTTTCATTACGCAAAATACATTGCTGTATTTCAAGTCGAGTTTAAATTGATTGCAAGGATTTAGTTCTTTCCTTTTACCGTCGCTAAAAATGGCTAATTTTAGACATATTTACAAATATCTCTGCACAATGTAATTCTCTTTATTATACTCTAGCTTTTATTTGAGGAAGATTAGCTAATTTAATGTTATATATATATATATATATATATATATATATATATATATATTTAGGCAGCAATATATATATATATATATATATATATATATATATATATATATATATATACACGTCATCCACAGACAGACTGTTTCGCTATTTCACAGCTCATCAGTGCGGCTAGACATCCGGTTGCCTCTAGCTTAGGATCGAAACCCGACTGACAGTCGGAGATTCTAACCATTAAGTCGTCGGCGTACGGTAGGGATGAAGGTGGATTTTTAGCGTATTTATTTTTAGAAACACGCCCAGTGACCGACAGTGACTCGATTCGCTTATGCGAAGAGTCTCGCTATATAGCTCTCTCTCTCTCTCTCTCTCTGTGTGTGTGTGTGTGTGTGTGTGTGTGTGTGTGTTGTGTGTGTGTGTGGGCTTGTATACAATGAACATTATTATTTTTCGTGACAAAAAAGGGTGAACATGTTCGTTTTTCATTAAAAAAATGCTTATTGCGTCTTAGTGGCTTTATTTTTCTTCGGGGTGAAATGATTAAAAAGTAAAAACACTCTATAAATAGGAAATGACTTGACATCAATCTTATAAGGCTTCCATCAGTGACCTTAACGTAAGCATTTATAAAAATGTGTTTGCTTTCAATTCTTTATAACTCTCCTATATGGAAATCAATCAATTACACCTACGTTCGTTTTATAAGCGTAGCTTGAATGCAGCTCAAGGCAGAAAGTATGGGGCACCCAGTGAGGATCAAATTTACTCTTCAGTCGTAATTGATCTCAATAATTATATCTATGTATGAGTTAAATAATGAGATATATGTACGTAATTAGCTCAATTATATACATAGGTTGGCCTGGAGGAGAGTTTACAAACACCTTCTTATTCGATTCTGTCAAGAGTAACTTTAGGAGTAACAGCTTTAGAATGTTGCGATTGTCTGTGCAAGTAAAGTACTTATAGGGGAGTGGTCTGCGAAAATATTCACTCAGCTACACTGATCTCCGTTACCCGTTGTGGAATGCCAGTGACGTGCAAGTAATGAAAGAAGCAGACAGCCGTAACGGTTATTGGGACGGAAAATGGTATCATCAAACGATTCGATTTCACTCCGTGGCTGGATGCGTTTGTTTTGTATTAACATTGATGAGGAACATGAATATTTGGACATTCGGTGGTTCTGTAAATAGCTGTAATTGCTACAGAAATAAGGTAGAGATACATATTTCAACAAAATATTCGATATTCTATAGACAAGCCAGGTAGAAGTGGTTTCATGCCTTTCTTAAGGGTATTAGTACAAAAAGAGCACAGTCAAAATTCGTAGATTTGATTCGTCGATTCCACGCTGGTCCTCGCCACTGTATCCCCAGGTATTTTAATTTGCCGATATCAAAACGACTACAAAGATGGGCAAAGAAATTGTATTTATGTCTGTAAAACTCTTCCTGACCTACCCACCGGTAGTATCCAGGAAAAAAAACTTACCACTGATCCCCAATTTTGTGTTGCTGGATAAAAAAGAGCTTATAGATTACATATTTTGGGAACAACAATCTCAGTAAAAACTCGAAATTGATAGAGAATTTAAAAAAAAAACTAATAGTTGTTTCCGATTTAGGCAAGGCCCTACTGCGTAGGTCAGAAGATAAATACATAATCCTGTAAACAATATTGTGTTTGAAGATCCGAGAGCACCAACTTGGACAGGTACTGCTAGCATATGAGTTCTTTGAAATTGAAAGAAATTACTTCTTTTTTTTTTAAATGGTATTCTTTGGGATTTAGTCAAGGTTCTTTTGCTTAAATAGTGTCGGATAGGTCAGGGGATATATTTCTGATCCTGTAAACAATGCTGTGTTTTTAATATACGAGATATGTTTTCTGGAAGAGATTCAGTTCCAATAATACTTTAGAAAAGTAAAACTTGCCTTCTTTAATTAAAAAAAAAAAAATACGAGGCCATCGCTACGTAATTCTTCTCGTATTATACACACACACACAAACACACATATATATATATATATATATATATATAAAATTTTGGTTAAAAACCAACAAACGTTCTTTGTTAAGGATTTTTTTATATGGTAAACAAATAACTTTTGATAGTCTTTAACCAAATTTGAATAAATATAAATTTGCTGCCAAATGTACCCATTCTCTCACTCTTTCTCTCTTTACATTAGCGCGAAATTTAAAATAATAATATATATATATATATATATATATATATATATATATGTGTGTGTGTGTGTGTGTCGCTATTTTATATTTTAATTTCGGGCTAATTAAAAATATAAGATGGCGACATTTACACATGGCAAATGTATATATATATATATATATATATATATATATATATAGATATATATAGTTTGCGATGGGTAAAATGTCGCCATTTTATATTTTTAATTTCGCGCAGGCGCATTGTTTTTGATCTTGTCGTCTGCACAGTATATTAGGGTCAGTTGGGCACCGTTGGTGAGAAAAAGAACATAATAACGCAATTCACTGCGCCCGAAATTTGGAAATGGCGTGCTGTACTGCTTGGCATCCGCACCAGAAGCTCCAATACAAACATTTCAGAGTGTTTGGGTGTCAATCTGAGAACACTGCAGAAGATTCGATAAGAGTTGGATGAGTCTAATGGTGATTACGAAGGTGTTTGGGTTGATCACTAGTGATGGCGACGTTATGTCTCCATTCATCTTCCCAAAGTGTCTCAAACTCAACATGGAGGCAGAAAACAAGTGCCTTGAGGAGGGGTGCTGCTGGAAGATCATATGTCTGGCAACAGAATCATGTGTCATGCCATACAAGCAGGAGAACCCAACCATAGCTGTTAGACAATTTATGTGACCACATCACCCTTTACACTGGGCCACCTAAATCCTCAGACTATAACCGGCTTGATTATTATGTGGGGGACATAGTTGAGCGAGAGAGCAACAAAACTGCTCGTAACAAAAATGAACTGAAGGTAAGGATTATGGCAGCATTCACCAACTTAAAAAAAGAGACCGTCCAGAAGAGTTGCAGGAGATTCCGAAGTCGTATGGAGGCCGTGGTTGAAGCCAATGGCGATTTTATTGAATAAATTCACTCATTACTATTTCGAGATTTTTTTGTGTAATTTTGGAAAATGTATCTGTTAAAATTAGATGTCAGTGCTATTTTCAGTAATGCATAATTTAGAAGACAATCTATCCATCGAATCCTGTATATATTTGTGTGCATGTGTGTGTGAGTGTATGTCTGTTTCTGTGTCTATGTGTGTGCGTATATATATATATATATATATATATATATATATATATATAGATAGATAGATAGACAGATAGATAGATAGATTGACAATAATAAGGATGATATAACTGAAACAAATACAAGAAAAAGCACTCAATAGATCATTAAAGCTATAATATTCAATACATTAAGCAAGGTTCAAGTGGCTTATATGATTGACGAACTCAAAATGCTTAATAGGGTCAGATGTTCGATAAATTGATTTATCGAACATCTTAGCCTGATAAGCATTTCAACGGGAAATTATATATCTTGATATTCTCGCTCAATCTTATAACTTGAGGTTTTCTTGATTTATATATGTATATATATGTATAAATAGACAGAGATATGTATCTATGCTTAATACATGTTTTGCCTATTTTAAGTTTTTAAAAACTCACACATATACACACACAGACATGTATATATTTATATGGCTTGAAATTGACAATTGGAAAAAATTCTTAGTTTTTTCCGACGCGTTTTGCATCTTTCATTAAATAATATAGAGAATTTTTTTTCTGTTCATTTTAAGTAAATTCCTTTCATATTGTCGAATAAGCTTATTAGTATCATCATTGAAACACGAACGAAAATCACTATGTTGATACACGTTTTTATTGTTAATCTTGTCTAAGCTTTCGGCTTACATAAGCCATCATCAGAGATTACAAGTACACTGCAATAAATTATATATATATATATGTGTGTGTGTGTGTGTGTGTTTCATTAAATACATACATATATATATATATATATATATTTCATTAAATACATATATATCTTTGTTTCATATATATATATATATATATATGTTTCATTAAATAATATAGACAACTTTTTTCTATTTATTTTAAGTAAATTCCTTTCATATTGTCGAAAAAGCTTTTTAGCATTATCACTGAAAAAACGAAAGAAAATCACTATGTTGATGCATGTTTTATTGTTATTCCTTTCTAAGCTTTTTTGATGAAAAATGCTGCCTAAATATATATATATATATATATATATATATATATATATATATATATATATGTGTGTGTGTAGTTTATGATCACGCGCGTGTGTGTGCGTGTGTGTGTGAATGTATTCATTCTCCATACATATATTGTTTATTATATTATTATTATTATAAGGAAACCTATATAGTAAATACAATAATTTTGTATGGTCTGTCTGTGTGTACGTATGTGGTCCAACTAATGTGTATATGGTGTGTGTTTACGGGTGTGAGGTTATGATTTGTTTAGTGCTGGTTTAAATTTCACTATGAAGGTTTTCTTGTATTTGAAGGTAAGAGTAATCGTCTGTTTGATATATTGGCATAATTTTAAAGTTACCTTTGTTGGCATAATTTTAAAGTTACCTTTGGATGTGTTGTGACAGAAAGAGTCTTCCGTTGTCTGTTGTTGCTTTTGTGTAGGTTGACTCTGATACCTATATAAGATTTGTTGCATTTTTTGCACCTGAGTACATAAATCAGATTTTTGGAGTTTCACTAAGTTTTTGTTTATTGTGTATGTTGTGGGATTTCCAAAATTATGGGGGTTTCCTTATATTTTTCTCTCTTTAAAATATACACAAATGTCAACGTCGGTCTTTTCGTTTTTCATTCAAAATACTCAAATTTTAGGAATACTTTTTCACAACGTCGCCCACGTGACGATGACGTGATCATATTTAAACGGAAAGCTGATCTTATAGAAGATTTTAGTTATCTGTTTGGATTGGTATTGCTTTTAAGTCCCTCGTCTTTTTCATGTTGAATTATATATGGTCTATGTTAATTATGTTTTATGAATATGTCCTGAAGATGGTCTATTAGACCGAAACGTCCGACGTTGACATTAAACATTAAAACAGCATAATCGCATATTAGGATTTTTGTATGTTTTTTCAGTATATTTTTCTTAATATATATATATATATATATATATATATATATATGTGTGTGTGTGTGTGTGTGTGTGTGTGTGTGTGTGTGTGTGTGTGTGTGTGTGTGTGTGTGTGTGTAGAAAATAAGGCTCGGTAGAGATAATTATTGAGTTTCAAAAGCAATACTCATACAACAAAAACAACTATCAATAAATAAAACAATTATAATTTAAAAGCATAAATCATTAAATGCAAATATAAAATGTACACTCATCACTTACGCCACAACAATATTTGACTACGTCACAACGGTCACTAGTTCTGTGAAACTCACCAATTGTATCTACCTACCCTGATGATGACATAAGAAAGTCGAAAGTTTTGACCATATTTTTAGTACGTTTCTTCTGACGGAATAGTCTACTCTTGGGGACATCTATTCGGCTTTAGTTAGATCCCGTGACAGGGCCCAAAGCGTGTGAGTTCAATACCTGGTTAGGGTGGTGAAGAACTTGGAGAGGGGAATTAACAGGAGATAACTGCTAACAGACATCCATTAAACATGGCACGTGGAACGAGAACAGTCTACCCCAGTAAGCGAAATAAAGGGTTCAGTTCGATATTCCAACCATCTGAAGAAGGTCCGATCGTACAACGGCCGAAAATGTTGGAAGATGAGGACAATAGTCCGAATAATGTAAATAGTGTACATAATACCTCATCTCAGAATTATAGACAGATACTAATATTGAGTGCTTTCAATAAATACAGCGCATATATAATATATACATAATATATATAAAATTGCCTGTATATATATATATATATATATATATATATATATATATATATATACATTTTACACACACACACAAACACACACACACACACATATATATATATATATATATATATATATATATATATATATATATATATATATATATATATATGTATATATTCAGTATATACGTTACTTATTAAAGTAAATGCTCTGTTCTTTAATAAAACATTACTAATTGTATTTACAGGCGAATGTTTGAGAAATTTCATGGAAATATGCATTCTCCGGCAGCACTATACCCGTTCAGCTACAGAGAATTTTCCGAAACCGGCTGAACTCCAGGCTTAATTGTTCCACATTGGTTCTAGGTTCGATTGTTGCCGGAGAACACATATTTTCTACGAAATTTCTTTCAGACCGCTAAATGTAAATAATACTGTTTAATTAAAAAAAAATAAAAATAAAGTATACAGAGAAAATATATTCAATAAATGTTGTATTTAATCCAATTCCTATGACACACACACACACACACACACACACACATATATATATATATATAAATATATATATATATATATTTGGATTAAATCCAATTCGAGAAATCATGGGAAATTTGTAGATTAAAAGCAATAATTCGTGCTTGCTTACCAGACGCTTCCTCTTTAGCTAAATGGTATAGCACGTCAGGCTATATGATGATGACGTGTACGATACGGGTCCGGTTTCTGTCGGAGGACATATATGTTTTTATGAAATTTCTTGGATATTCTGGTCAGTAAATGTTTTTTTATTATAAACAGGGTATTTCCTTTTTTTTCATTTTTATCTCTGAAAATAGCATATAAATAATAAATATATTAAAATAATTGACGGACTTAGTTCATTTCATAATATATATATATATATATATATATATATATATATATATATATATATATATATATATATCGATTTAAAAAGCACAAGGCCGAAAGTAGAGGGCATCCAGTGACGATCTAATTCACTTCTCAGTCGTAATTGATCTAGTGGCACAAGCATATATATATATATATATATATATATATATATATATATATATATATATATATATATATTTATATATTGTGTTTTTTTAGCATTTTTTCATTCACATGTTTCATTAAATAATATAGACAAGTGTTGTCTATTTATTTTATGTAAATTCTTTTCATAACGTCTGATAAGTTTGATAACATTATCATTAAACGAAGAAAGAAATTCACAATATTCATACATATTTTTTAATCCAATCTAAGCTTTCGATAATATGATGAAGAGCTCGTATCTTCAAATGTTTAAAAAGACAGGTTACACCTCGCCTACCCCACTGCGGTCTTTGCCTAGTGAATGTTGAAGAATGCTGGAGCCTTCAACGGCCGAAACGTCGTTGTTCGAACAATGTAAATAGTGTAAATAAATATATAATCGTATAACGGAAGCTTAAGTACAGACAGATTATATCTTGTATTAGTTTCCATCCGATACCCCACTCCCCAAAATATTCTTCGTCTATCGATTGCTGTCATCGATCAGACATTTCTAGGGGAGAAAAGAAAATCATTAGATCTTTGACATCCCGGTAGAGAGATGTACGCCCACGGCAAGGTCATTCTTTGCATGTTTCTCCCAGCTTAATTCGTCCAAAAGATACCATGCATTCTTCTTTATCCGAGGTGATCATAATCTTCTTAGACACTTACCTACTGCCTAAGTAGGTATTACCATATGGGACTTATTCTCCTGATAAATAAGAGTCGATCATTTGTCAACCAGTGAACTTATAATGGCTGAGGGATATTTCAATCCAATGTGTGGATATTTCGAAGGATTGTGGATTTTAAAAGCTTGAATTTCTTAAGTTACTGTCAGCAACAAGCTAGTAATTAAGGATTTATTCCACCGGCCGATTCAATTTCACTTCTGTCGTCGGATCTAGACTTTTAATTCCTAATCTTGTACGATGTCTTTTGCAAGAAGAGAAGAAAAGGAAGAAGAGAAAAAGTAAAAGGACAAAACGAAGAGTAATAGAAAGTAACAGAGAGAAATAGAGAGAGAGAGAGAGAGAGAGAGAGAAGGGAAGAAGTATAATGTGGGATGTTAAAAGTAGATAATGAAGGAGAAGAAGCTGGGGAGTTGGAGAAGGAGACAAAAACGAAAGAAGAACAACAAAAAAGACGAGGTGTAGAAAGAGAGGCTGGGAGGACTAGGAAGGAAAAAAAGGGGGAGGATGATGAAATATAAGAGAGGGAGGTGACAAAGAAGAAGGGGAAAGGGAGAGGCTCAGAGTAAGTAGAAGTTAAAGGAGAATAGGAAGAGGAGATGTTGAAGAAGAGGGAGGAGGAGAAGAAAAACATGACGTGAAAGAGACGCGCGAGAGCATGCTGAAGAACAGAGAATGATGATGATGATGATGACAGGCAGTTTACGGATTAAAAGAAGCAGTATTGTTTGAAGTAGAAGAAAAGGTGAAGAAGAGGTAGAAGAGGAAAATGTATTGAAAGATTATTAGTAGATGCTGAAAAATAAAGTTTAAGAAGATGATGATGATGATGATGATGATGATGATGATGATGAAAGAGAAGAAGAAGAAGAGAAGGAGGGGGAGGAAACTGAATAAATAAATGAAATGTTGACTTTGAAGAAGAGGAGGTGGAATTGAAGGAGAAGAAATCGAGAAAGAACTGAAAGTGAAAGAAAAGAAGAGCGAGAAGCAGAATAAAAAGCTAAAAAAGAAACTGAGGGAGTAGAAGTTGAAGAAGAAGAAGAAGAAATGGAAGAAGAAGAAGAAGAAGAAGAAGAAGGTGAAAGAGATGAAAAAGAAGTAGAAGAAAACAGACTAACTAAATAGACGAATTATTGAAGTTGAATAACAGGAGGTGGAAGTGAAGAAGAAGAAGAAGAAAAATGAAGAAATGTGGAAGAAAAATTGAAGGCGAAAGAGAAGAAGAAGGAGAAATAGATTAAGAAACTGAAGAAGAAGGTGAATGAGTAGAAATTGAAGAACAGAAAGAAGATAGAATAAAAAATAAATAAATAAAGAAAGAAAGAAAGAAGAAGAAAAAAATGGAGAAATAGGTGAAATATTAAAGAAGAAGAAGAAGAAGAAGAAGAAGAGGAGGAGGAGGAGGAGGAGAAGAAGAAGAAGAAGAAGAAGGAAGAAGAAGAAGAAGAGGAGGAGAAGAAGAAGAAGAAGAAGAAGAAGAAGAGGAGGAGGAGGAGCAGAAGGAGGAGGAGGAGAAGAAGAAGAAGAAGAAGAAGAAGAAGAAGAAGAAGAAGACAAAAGCATGGAAATGTTTGCCGACAAATAACAAAAGAAAGAATAAAAGAAAAATAAAAGAACCTAAAAGAGAGGAAATGACGTCATAAATTTTTTTTTTTTTTTTTTTTTTGATTGCGACAATCAATTGCACGTTCTGGAAACAAAAGCGAAGGAAGAGGCGAAAGAAAAGCAATTATTCTGAACAGATAAATAAACGGTGCCCGTATTAAATGTCCGGTAATTCGGTGCTCGTCTTAAAAATGACTTCGGTGATCAGGATCTGCGTTGAAAGACTATAATTTTCATCAAATAACTATATTTTACAGCTTCATTAGTAATGGTCAAAGCAGTAGACAAGCGGCTGTGGAGTTGAAAGGTTCATCAAAATATCACTTTTTCATGCTGCTAACTCGAGAAAACGAAATGGATTAAGATTATTTACGGTGTTCGAACTGTTGTCCTTATCTTTATTGTCAAGTTCACCACGTTTCGGCCCATGTGCGCTGCGGCCTTCTTCAGATAATTGGAAATAGATTTAATTCTACTAATGGATGCTGAGAATAACTTGGACTGAACATGTAAGCAACGAGGGGGATTTAAAGGAAGCAAAAGAACATTTACAATTAAAATCAGAAAGGAACAGTTGAAATTAGAACACAAAAAGAGGAAAGAAGGACTGAAGAATATAACACGCAGATTACAAGCTGAAGGCTACAGAAGAAAAAGGGATATGTGTCTCTGTCGATGGAAAGTTTAATACGCATGTGTAACTGGCATAAATACTCTTTACTTATTTCTGAGACGAAACATTGTAAAATAATATTAATTTCCATTATTTACATTATTCGGACTATTGTCCTCATCTTTGTCGCCATATTTATTACAACGTTTCGGCCCTTCAGTATCTGTTTATATTTCTGAGATGAGGTAATATGTACACTATTTACATTACTCGAACTATTGTCCTCATATTTGTTGCCATATTTATTACAACGTTTCGGCCTTTCAGTATCTGTCTATATTTCTGAGATGAGGTATTATGTACACTATTTACATTATTCGGACTATTGTCCTCATCTTTGTCGCCATATTGATTACAACGTTTCGGACGTTGTACGCTCCGGCCTTTTTCAGGTAGTTGGAATGTCAAACTGAAAACTTTATTTCGCTCAGTGGGGTTGACTGTTCTAGTTCCAAGTGCTCTTCCTGATGTTAAGTATAAGTGCTAAGTCTTCGTCTTCTCAAATTTCGGAAATCATAAAGCACAACTTCTTTGTTTTTATGTACCATGTCCCTTTAGGATGTAGGTGATCATGGCTCTCCACTTCTCCTATCCCTTGTAGCTCCCAATAAGTTTTGCCCCTTTATGTCATGTGTTGCTTTCCCTTGTTGCTCTTTCCCTCTATTCGCCCTGTGAGTATCAGATTCTCCATGCACTCTTTTCTCATTACGTGTCCCAGAAATTTCAGCTGCCTCTTCCTGATTTTTAGTATAAGCCTTCTCCTTGTTTACATCCTCTCTAAGATCTCATCGTTGCTCACACGCTCGGTCCTTATATCATCAGAATCCTTCTGTAGAATCATATCTCCGTTGCCTCGAGTCTATTCTTCGTCTTTGAGGAGACCGTCCAGCATCCGCTGTCGTAAAGAAGGACAGATGTCATGTAGCAGTTCAGTAGTCTTTTCTTTGTTACCAAAGAAATCCTCCTGCTTACCTTTTGGAGTGCGTCTTTGACCATCCCAATACGTCTTCGGTTATCAGCATCGCACTTACGGTTCACTGTCAAAATATTTCTCACATATTTTTGCACATAGTTGTAATAATTTAATTTATTTGATAATTTATTACACCTATACAGCGAAGCGATTCTAAAAGTGCCAAAAGTCCTACCTTGACTTATTGGGGGTAAACAGAATCTTAGCAGTATAAGACATGGTGATGACAACGTGCTGATGGCATCGGCAGAAAGAAAACTGCAGGAACTCTAATGAAAGCTAAAAGAAAGAAGGAAAGGAAAACATCATCATTAGAGGCGTCAAAATTAATGAATTATTGAGGTTTAATTATCTGGGAAGATACCTTCCTGTAAGCGATCTGGGATTGCAAAAGAAAATATTTGTCGCAGATTACTTCCACAGCTCAGAGAATAAATCACTAAGTTCAGATTCGAACATCGGGGGCAGAAAGAAATGCCAAAAAACTCGATTCGCAGCTACTATCTCACAAATCACAATGCCCACAACAAGTCAGAAAAATAACTCACTCCCCGACAAACGTGGTAACCAAAATGCCCGAATTTTTTTCTTCCCGATTCGAGAAAACCAACTGCTTTTATCGGCCGAGCATTTTTTCCATTCGTCAACAACTGGGAAAGGACGCACAATTTTTGCATATCAAAATACTTTTATAGCGACTCCTGCGACGGACTCGTTTTTAATTTACATATTCCGTCTTCAGCATGTCATGCGGAATACGTGCCCCCCCTTTTTTTTTTTTTGTTAAGTAATTTTCTTTTTCACCACATTTTCCGTCGTAGGATACACGCGACGCGTTGTCGCTTGGTTTGGCGAGGTAAGTGGCCGTTTTCTTCGCTATACTTCCAAAAGCTAAGCACAGTATTAAGAAATAGGAAAATATTAGAAACAAAGAAAATATTGCTGAACTCCTATGTAATATAATTTCTCTGATATGACAGGATTATTGAAGATTGAAGACATGTGCTTCTACAGAAGGATGCTGAGAATACCATGGACGAAACATGAGAGCAAGTTTTGAGGAAAATGGGAACAAGAAGAATACAAGTACTTAAAATCAAAAAGCGTCAATTGAAATTACTGGCATACAAAAACGATAAAAATGATAGTGACTAAGACGCAAGGGTTACTGAGTGTGGAACACGTCGACGAAACGTTACTGGGGAAAGAAGAGAATAAGATGGGGATTCAATAAAAAAGATGATGATGATTGACGTTGCATTTAAATATTTTGTTGACTGGAAAGTAAGAAGATGACAAAAGATTTATGTATCAAATCAAGTACGATTGAAGAAACTATACGAATAGAACTTACGGTTCTTTCTATCTTTTTATGTACCATGTCCTTTCCGGACGTAGGCGATCACGGCTCTCCATTTCCTCCCTATCCCTTGTAGCTCTCAATAAGTTTGGTCCCTCTGCCACATCCCGCAGACCACGTTCTGTCATCCACTTGCTCAAGTCCGCCAGGTATGTCATTCGTTGCTTTCCCTTGTTTCTCTTTCCCTCTATTCGACATGTGAGTATCAGATTCTCCAGGCCCTCCTTTCTCGGTTTACCAAATACAGTAGAAGGATGTGACCTAGTTGTCAGTCTATGCTTAAATTCATTAAGTCGTGGTACACTCAATTGATTGACTGATTTTTTCTACGGTTTATCAACGCCTTGCAGGTTATTTAAAGCCAGAAAATAGATTATAAGA